TTTGGAAAATTGGTTTTTTTTCAAAGCACACGGAGTTACAGTGCTTCTTTAATGAAAAGACCCACTATCAGACTGTTTTTTTCCAAAAACACTTTTACAAAAAAATTTACCAAACACTTAGCTGATTTATTTCACAGCCGCTTATTCTCACAGCAGCTTTTTTTCAAAGCACAGCAATACCAAACCAAGTTTGGGAGTGAGGTGCTTAAAAAAAAAGCACCCATGAAAAAAAGCTGTGAGGGTTTTAGGTGTTTGGTAAACTGAAAAAAAAAAGGCTTATTTTGGAAGCTGCTGTGAGAATAAGCTGAAATCAAAGGAAAAAGCTGAAGCTGCTATTTGTAGCTTTGGAAAACTGGTTTTTTTCAAAGCACATGGAGCTACAGTGTTTCTTTAATGAAAAGACCCACTATTAGACTTTTTTTTTTCCAAAAACACTTTTACAAAAAAGTTTACCAAACACTCTGCTGATTTATTTCACAGCCGCTTATTTTCACAGCACAGCCGCTTATTCTCACAGCAGTTTTTTTTTCAAAGCACAGCAATACCAAACCAATCCTTCATATGTCAACTAACCGGTGTATTTGATACTTATGCAGGATATCTTGCTTGTGCTCGTTGCTCCAGCACTGGAACCCTTGTTCTTACCGAACCAATTTCAACAGTTGATGGCGGAAACCAGCCCCTTTCACTGCCAAAAACTGAAAGATGTTCAAATTGCTCAGGAGCGGGAAAGGTTAGACATAAAATTGTACCCATTGAATGTTTATTGCATAGTAAATTCCTCTTCGTGCCTGCCTCTGGGATGCACTTGTTTCATCATATACATTGAGGAATAGCTGATTCACATGATTGGTGACTGTTGTGTTTGTCGAGCACGTGTAGGGATGGTTATGCGGGCGGGTAACCGCGGTTAATTTACCCATAACCGTTTATGCTCATACCTACATAACCGTTTACCCGTTGGGTAATTGCCTAAATGGTTATACTCATACTCATAACCATTTATAAACGGTTAACCATACCCATAACCGCATAGCCATTTAACCGTAACAATTTAATACCCGTATACCATTTATCATTTTTAATCCGTTTATCTTTTCTTTTTACCATTACCTTTTTTTCACCAGTCTACATGTTTTTTAACAACTTGAAAATTAAAAAAAATTGTCATAATTTTTTTTTTGACAATTAAACACCGTTATAGGTACATTCGTCATACATTTTTATATTTTAATTTTTTAAGTCTTTATACCATTCCAATAATTGAAATAATAGTTTACGGACGATATTTTTAACTGTTACCAATGAAGGTAAATATAATATTTGCTAAGTATTATTGGGTTACAAAAATTGTTTAGAAGACATTTTTGTTAAAGTATTTCTGTCAATTTCACGGTTACCCACAAGGAATTTAAATTAATTTGGCAAATTCCTTGATGATGGGAATCATCATTCATGTAGTAGTGTTATTGAGAGAATGATCGATGAATTCCTTGCTAATTTATTGGGTGCTAAGTATTATTGGATGGAGAACATGATTTGTGTTAGCTTTACATATATAAAATAAATGGGTAAACGGTTACTCGTTTATAACCATGGTTAATACTCATAACCATCCATTTAAATTTTACGGGTAAACGGTTATACCCATAACCGTTTATTTATCTAAACAGTTAGCCATAACCGTAACTGTTTAATTTAAATGGGCGAGTAACCGCGATTACCTATAACCAATGGGTATTTGCCTATCCCTAAGCACGTGAAAGACATTTCGGAAGAAAAAAAATTGACTGGAAATGGAGTTTAAGATAATTTAGTAGCAAATTTTGAGGGTTGACTTCCAAATGGCGAGTATATCTAACATCGCGTTTTTAATGTGGCAGGTAATGTGCCCTACATGCCTTTGCACTGGAATGGCGATGGCAAGTGAACACGACCCTCGGATCGACCCCTTTGATTAGAAGCGCAACGCCATCGTTATTCGTTCCCTTACCACTGACAACCTTCTCTCTCTCTCTCTCTCTCTCTCTCTCTCTCTCTCTCTCTCTCTCTCTCTCTCTCTCTCTCTCTCTCTTTTGATGCGAATGCAATGCGTACATCCTCTCATAAGTAGTGACATAAACAAGGAACTTCTGTGTATATCAACTGTTCAAGAATTTGACCAGACATCTGAATGCGATTCAAATATTTCCTTCCCTTCAAATTTGTTTTAAAACATCTTTCTGTTGAAGAATCAATTTCTTACGAGGGATCGCCTTTGTGCACAGAATCAAAACTGTTTTGTTGCTCGTCCTAACAGTTAATGAGGGAATTGTTATTAGCATTCACAAAAGTTAGAACACCACCAAAATCAAAATTTTGGAGAAAACGTTTGCAAAGTGTTAAAACACTTATATATGTATATACGCATAACATGAACATAGCATGCATATTGCACAACAAATACTTGTAATATCAAGATATACAGACAACAGAAATGAAAATGCCAACTCTGCCAAGATTTATAGTGGTGAAACCAAACCACAACAGCGAATACTTTCGCTACAGACATGACGGAAATCTTGATGGCACGCCAGCTCCGGGGTTGCTCAATTTCACCGGAGAGGAGGCCGGGAGCCATTACGCCAAGTTCCAAGTGGAGATGGCAAAGAGTAACGGGAATAAAGGACTAGTACGCATCAGATGCTGTTACAACAATAGAGGTGGAGCTCTCGCATACATTGGAGCCGGCTTTCCGGTATTTTAAGTTTGGGAGGTCAACGGCAACATCCTAGCCAGCATTCCGGTAATCACAGATGACGGAAAGGTCAAAAGTGGGTTTACAGGAGCATTCAAGTTTGGAGAAACTGAGACAATACTAAGTAATGCACAGGAGGCTGCGTGCAAGGTTGTTCCGACACCCTTAGTAGCTGGGAAGTAATTACCATCAACATGGATGATGGCGTTTACACTGGTGTCAATACCTTCAACATGAAGTTCGACACCAACGAAGAAATGTCTTCTCATCCAATGCTCAGCGATATATTCTCGGAATTTCACAATATAGTTAAATGGCTACATTATTCTTCAGAAAATTTACATATTTTGTGTGTTTTATTACCAATCCTACATTCGATACCATTGAATTTACTGGTAAAAATACATTTCTGTAACGATCCTCCGATGGTAGATCTTCGTCTTTCTTCTTCAACCACTTTCTTCAGGGAATTGCTGATGTCACCCAATGCCTAAGCTACCGAAATATGAGGACGCGGATCCTGTGATCAGCAACACCCTCTGAGCAATGAGTAGTATTCATGCACAACCATTTGCTCCAATATATTGTCATATGTTCAGGAAGTGATTCAAGTTTGAAAAACACGAAATGCTAACCTTGTAAAATTCAGGAAGATTGTGAAGCATATACACCTCATTGACAGCTTGAATCTGCTTTGTTATCTGAAATCAATGGAAGTTGAAATATTACAGACTGATTGACAATGAAAGCTGATTCAACCATGTATTAATACGAAAACAGGTATGCTTCAAGTAACCATGTTTCGCTCCTCCAGGACATCAGAGTGGTGCAAGATTGCAATGGATGTGGAGGCTCACGAGCGTTGTTGCGACAGTCTACACCAAACATTAGACAAAAAACCTAACCTACCCAATCCAATCCTAACCTAAGCAGTCTGAAATACCAAATCCAATCTTACCCGGCATACCAAACGTGCTCTAAGTTCATAGGCTTACACGCAAATGACGGTATTTGGAACATAATTTATGCCAGGACAACACATGTTAGAAGCATGAGCATATCATACATCCATTATGTTTCGTTTGGACTTTTCATGATCTTTTACATTTTTACTTTTCAGGTAACAAGTGCATCGAAGACCAAACAATCTATAAGCAAGATATCGATATTTCAAAATCCCATGACCTTCGGCAAGTACTTGCTAAATCTTAAGTCCATAAACAACTCAAAACATTTTGAATTGCACCAAGAGAGAAAGCTAGCAATCATACCTCAGCTAACCCAGCAGCAATGACTTCGATCGACACAAAGGTCCGGGTCTGATCATCGTTAACAAAAACCTCCTACTTGCAAAAATCAATCCAATACCTGTTCCACAATAACCAAATGTGTTAAAAACCAAAAATGGACAAAATATCTGCAGGCTTAAACAATTATGTTAAATAACAGAACTAAATTCACGCAATGCACACAAGAGAAGGTAAATGCAACCATACCGCCTCTGAATCTGAAGCTTCTGCCGCAGCATTGTCACCAAGGAATTAATCTGGTGCACCCGAATCGGAACAGTTCTTCCGAGACTTATATGGAACTCTCTGCCTAAAGCAACTTGTTCAAGCTTATGCTCGTCCTTACGCAGAATGTCAAGCGGGACGTCAACGTCAACGGCGTGGAGACCAGGCACCAGAGAAGCAAGCTTGTTCAAAAACAAGGCCATCTCTTTCCTTGGTGCTGGTGGTATATAAACTGGAACCACACAATTAAACAAGCAAAATCTAAGTGCAAAGGGATCGCATTTGCTAATGGAGCTGAAAATTTCGAGAATTTTGATTACCTGGGATGTATACATGTACTGCGTAGTTCCCTTCGACGTGAGGAAAGTTCCGAACTCTGCTCGGCTGGGCGCTTGGGGAGAAGTCCAGAAATCCTTTAGAGGCAAAACATCAAACACTTGGTGGGCAACTCGGAAAAAGCCATCACAACAGAAAGTTAAAAGATAGAATATTTATGGGAATCAGAGGTTACCGAAGGAATTGGGCTGTCGAGAAGTGACAGAGGAGGTGGAGGCAGCGCAGTGGTCGATTCTTGAGAGTTTTTGAGCTCCGGAGGTGGCGGTGGAGGTGGAGCCGGCGACTCGGAGTCTGAGTCCGACGACGAGTCTCCGTACGAGGCAATCAGGGCCTCCATTTCTCTCTCGCGCTAAAAGCGAACCAGTACGTTGTTAACTTGGGAAATTGGAAGTAGAACTAGAAGACAGGAGATAATGGGCCTGACAATTGGGCCCACTAGGCCCAGGCCCAATTATTTCGAACAACTCGATTAGGAGGGAAAAAAACCAAAGGAAAAACGGACACATTTGGTCTTCTTCGCTCCTTCTTCTTTCTAGGGTTGCCTGGTCAGGCTGTCAGGCCAAATCTTCCGTCGGAATCTTCGAAGCAATGTCCAAGGAAAACATTCAGGCGTACGGAGGAGGCTTTCCACAAGGCTATAGATTCAATAGCCGCCGCAGTCCGCCGTGACCTTGCTCTGTTCCGCCATCACTTGACTCTTGGTGTCGGGGAAGTTTCCGATCCTACCCCAACGATTCAATCAATCAATCTCGATCATCCCGGACTTCAAGGAGACGACAATCCACCGAGAATTCCATCGCCAATTGAAGTCCATTCCGTTCCGCCGTTACTCTCATCTTCACCGTTGTTGCAAGCACTGGCAACTCCGCCCGTGAAGCCACACTCGAACAACTCTGATGCAGCTACAATTTTGCTTCCGGGATCGAAGACGATGACCTCTGCTCCGCGGCTACTCCATAAGCACTCGTTCTCTGATACTACGAAAAATGGACCTGAGGATTTTTGTGCATGGAACCTGTTTGATGAAATTCCAGACTCAAGTGGCTATGTTGTTCTCAATCGTGACATGTGCTACTGCAATGGCATTCGGGATAAGGGTGGAGGCTCCAAAATTAGGCCACTGGAAGATTGTCGAATGAGACTGGGAGAGAAGATTACACAGTCGGTTTACGATGACAACATTGGATATTTCATCAAGAAGAAACTTCATGTTTGGTATCAGCTACCTAGTGGGCTATGGGAGTTAGGAATGGTACGTGGACATGAGGTATTGCTTTTGTATGGTGTAATTGCATGCTATACTGGTCATAATGCGATTGTATATCATGTTTTTTTGAATGCTAAGTATGGCTGGGTTAATTGGTACCTTGTGGGTAAATTTGTGAAGAAGAATTTCTATGCATTGCATCTATTTGATGAAATGTCTAAGAGGCATAATATGGAGAATATGTCATTGAGTAGCAACCTGGAAGCTTTGGATATTGTTGTACTTGTTTGTCGTTCTTTGCCTAAAGATCTTGCAGCTAGTTTGACTGAGGAGAATGGGACTTTGGGTTATATCAATGCTATCAAGCAGTTCCTCTGCTTATCACTGTTACACAGATGTGCATTAACAGTCATGGCCATTTCCCAGCTTGACTATTCTATTCTCACCAGCTTGTTATCGAAATTGAATCCGGAATTATGTAATAGTGTTGATGTACACCTCGATACTGTTTTCTTTCCTAATTGCGTAGCGAATGACCAGATTTTCCAGCAACCGGGTTGGTGTCACACTCTCACTAATCCTTGTGACAATATATCTTCTCAAAGGGTTGTCTTCAATCAGAGGAATTATACAATATGGTTGATGGAGAGGCCCTGCATTCTCATCTCTTTCAAGGAGGATGGAACAACTACTACTTCAATCTTATTTTTCTTGGTTTATGGAATGCATTTCAAGGAGCAATGGAAATCTCGGACAACACCATATATGACTGTACCTGAGCAACATTGTGTAAGTCATTATGTTTTCTCTTATGTGATTGGTAAAAGATGGATGTTGGTAGAGCTGGAGTTGCATCATAAGAAAACCGGCAGACGTATTCAGATGCTCACTTTTGGTAGTGAAGAGGTAATAGTATTCAGGCCAAATCTAAGATTTGATGGTGCTAGTGTTTATGCATGGTTGTACGATTATGGACGTATCTGCAAAGTCAGTCATCAGCTTAAAGTAATTTTGTTAGACAATATGGTACACATCAATGTATTGGTTGCTGCTGGTGTTATTTCATTTGGTTGCTGTTGGTGTTATTTCTTTGCCTGTTCTTCAGAAAGGATGTCCAACATATTTGTCTTTGCATGGTTTTTGCATGTTTGTCTTACCGTGAGTGTAAGTTGGCAAAATGAGTTGTTTAAATTTTTGGAACTTGATACTATTGAGCCATCATATGAATTCAAATGCCAATTGTACACCTTAACAGAGGTGATGAAGGACATGGTTGAAGCTTTGGGTTTGCTCAGGTCCTTTAAATCTTCCATGCATAATATCGGTGTTGCTAATGACAGTTTAAAGTACAGTGATTTCAATGATTCAGAAAGAATTGCAAGTTTCAATATCCAATATAGACTGCTCCCATCCATCAGCTTATTTCAGGAGTTTTTTGACAATCCGACATTAGGTGGTCCTAGTTTCACTGAAAAAAACTATGAAATGTGCCTCCATGAGGGGAAGATGACTGAGAAAGACATCACTCCCATGGGTGGCTTCCCTCGGTTTGGTGTGATGAAGGATGGCTACATTCGGAGCAAGGAATGGTGTGTTGGACCTAAGAAGAGGATAGTTAATCTTAGGCAGTCTCTTATCAATCAGACCGCTCGTCTTGCTTTTGAGGATATCAGGCTCATAACCATCTCTAAGGTTATAATTCTTGGCAAGGGTCCAATTGCTTTAGTAGCTGCATTCGTTGAGAATGATCCTCTGGCAGGTTCCCTGGGAGTTGGCCCATTTTCTCCATTTGATGCTGCATGCTTTTTGGCAACTAGCATGGAAGTTGAAATGATATCGTGGGTTGAAATTTATGAAGAGGCTACGGGTAACAAGTGCTCACTTACCAAGTTGTGGGGAGCTGCCATAACAAGTACAGGGGTGCTGTCAGGCTCATCTCCAAAAGTTGAGAGCTACATGCAGATTGTATTTGCAGTCCCTGCAGCTTCCCTTCTGTTGCAAGACTCCTAGTTTCTACTCGTTCAAATAAGTTTTTCAACTTTCAACCTTGAGGACAAGGTTGTTCTTCAAGGGGGAAGTATTGTTATGACCCAAATTATTACTGAGGTTTTATGCTTTAATTGATTTGTTAAGAATTGTTAAATATGCCAGCTGGCATTTTAAGAAGTAGAGTTTGTATAAAAGGAGTCCAGCTCCCTCAAATGTAGCAGATCAGATTTTACAAACAGAAATACAAAACCAAAAAAATATATTGGAGCCCTGCTCCCTTCTACTTCGTCTTCTCCATTTGTCATTTCTATTGCTGCTTGTAGGTTGAATAGGGTCCTGAGATCTGTGATCCTATCAAAAGAAACCGCATCTCTGGGAATTTCAGAGCCGCCAAGGCCCTCATTGATCGCAAACGCCCCCGCAACGACGCCGTTTTGACTGATCATCACCTCCCTCATACCAAGTAAGTCGTTCAGGAATCAAAGATTTCATCTTCTTACTACTTTTTTGGTACTCGGCTGTTTTCTTGATTCAATTTAAATCAATTCAATTGTGTTTTTCAAATTCCAGAATTTGTGGCGGAAATGGAATCCAAACGCCAGCTCAGCTCAATAGAGTTCACAGAACTCCTCTTGCCGAGCTACCGATGAACACACCGCCTCCGATTTCTACAAGCCGGACTGAATATGGCAGTGCGTCGTGTTCCGGGAGCTTAAGCGCTAGCCGGACTGAATCAAGCGTGTCAAAATCGGATTCTTTCACAATTCCAATCAAACAACCGCAGTTTCCGACTTCATTCGATTCTTTCTCTGCGTCTGGAATTCTCGAGGATGATGATTTCGATGAGAGTATTTTGCAGGAAATTGACGCTTTAATTGAGCAGAAACCGAGTGGGGACATTCAGCGTGATGATATTGGGAGTTGTGGTAGCGATGTTAATGCCGCATCAGCGCCACCTCTGAGTAGTGAAAACCAAACAGATTCTGTTAACCATGGATTGCCTAACATGCCGGATGAGTATTCGAAGTATTTGCTTTCTCTCAACGAAAGGCAGCGGGAGGCAGCTTGCAGCGATATTTCAGTACCTTTGATGATTGTTGCCGGCCCTGGAAGTGGAAAGACTTCAACGATGGTTGGGCGGGTTCTAATGCTGCTCAATGAGGTGTTGCCACTTTCCCTCTAACTTTTTCTTTCTTAATTGTCTGTTTCTCTACATTTCTTGTTTATGATCGAAATCTTATTCCTTTTTTTTTTGTGTTCTTAGGGCATGAGCGCGTCTAACATTCTAGCAATGACTTTCACTACAGCAGCAGCTTCCGAGATGAGAGATCGAATTGGATCTGTGACTGGGAAAGGAACGGCAAAACTACTAACAATCAGTACATTTCATTCATTTTCATTGCAACTTTGCCGATCACATGCTGAGAAGTAAGCTATTGATTCACCTCCCTTGATTTTGAACACCATACCTATGGTGGTATAGCTGAGTCTGTTATGTTGGCTTGTGTTTTAGACTTGAGCGCACACCAGAATTTTTTATATATGGACATGGGCAACAGAGAAGAGCAGTCATTGAAGCTGTGCGGTTATCAGAAGATGAAAAGAGTAAAACGAATCTTAATGTTGCTATAGATGGGGAAGAGTAATGGCGTAACATCTCCACATCATTTTAAGGATCCATCAAAGAAATGGCTAAAGTTCGTGACACAGGTTAGTCATGAATACCAAATTTAATGTTCAGATTATAGTGGATTAAGAACAACATTCATTCGATTTAAAAAATATTAGCTACAATCAAGCTAGAATATATTAGCTACACAGGTTAGTCTTGAATTCTAAATTTATTTATGTTTCAGTTATCATTTCAGTTAACTCCGCCTATGTTCTTACATTGCCGGTCCCAAGCCCGGATAAAGGAGGAGGGGGAGGGCGTCAGGTAGTCGACAGCCGGCACTCCATGATCACGTCGAATCCTTATGAAAATGAATCCAGAACGAAATCGCGCTAAATCTAGGGCGTCACCCGTAAGTGGCGCGCTGTGTGGCCCGAGCACAGTGATAAGTGAGCAAGGGTCGCTGTATCTCCATCAGCATCCGGATGCAGTGTTAAATGAGCAAGGGGGCCATAGAAACTTCTTTTCGAACGATTCCACTCAAAGTTGTTTGGGAGCGTATGATACGCTTTTTCCAAGTAGTTGTAGCTTTGAAGAAGATGAAACATAGAAAAGCAATAGGCCCAAACGATATACCAATCGAAGTGTGGAAAGTTTTGGAAGAGACAGGTATAACATGGCTCACTGACCTTTTCAATAGGATTTTGAAAACGAAGAAGATGCCAAATGAGTGGCGAACGAGCATTTTGGTGCCTATCTACAAGAATAAGGGCGACGTACAAAATTACATGAACTATAGGGGTATTAAGTTAATGAGTCATACAATGAAGCTCTGAGAGAGAGTCATTGAGCATAGATTGAGGCAAGAGACACGGGTTTCGGACAACCAATTCGGGTTCATGCCAGGGCGCTCAACCATGGAGGCAATCTATCTCTTACGAAGATTGATGGAAAGATATAGAGATGGGAAAAAGGATTTACACATGGTCTTTATAGATTTGGAAAAAGCGTATGATAGGGTCCCAAGAGACATTCTTTGGAGGATTTTAGAGAAGAAAGGAGTACGAGTAGCATATATCCAAGCTATAAAAGATATGTATGAAGGAGCAAAGACTGCTGTAAGAACTCATGAAAGACAAACCGAAAGCTTTCCCATAACTGTAGGATTACATCAAGGCTCATCCTTAAGTCCTTACCTTTTTGCGTTGGTAATGGATGAGTTAACAGGACATATTCAAGATGATATTCTTTGGTGTATGCTTTTCGCAGACGATATAGTGTTGATAGATGAAACTCAGGAAGGGGTAAATGCAAAGCTTAACCTTTGGAGAGAAGCGTTGGAATCTAAAGGTCTTCGCCTAAGCCGATCAAAGACAGAATATATGGAGTGCAAGTTCAGTGCAAATGGAGGCCAAAACGAGTTAGGGGTGAGGATCGGAGATCAAGAAATACCAAAGAGCGATCGTTTTCGTTACCTAGGATCTATCTTGCAAAAGAACGGAGAATTAGATGGAGATATCAACCATAGAATACAAGCTGGATGGATGAAGTGGAAGAGTGCATTCGGCGTGTTATGTGACCGCCGTATGCCACTGAAGCTCAAGGGAAAATTTTATAGGACTGCAATAAGGCCGGCGATGCTGTATGGCACAGAATGTTGGGCGGTGAAACATCAACACGTACACAAAATGGGTGTAGCGGAGATGAGGATGCTTCGTTGGATGTGTGAGCACACGAGAAAGGATAAGATTAGGAATGAGGATATCCGGGGTAAAGTAGGAGTAGCCGAAATTGAAGGAAAGATGAGAGAAAATCGGTTATGGTGGTTTGGACATGTGCAAAGAAGGCCTACTGACGCTCCGATTAGAAGATGCGACTATGGGACAGAGGTTCAGGGCCGAAGTGGTAGAGGAAGACCTAGGAAAACTTTGGAAGAGACTCTAAGAAAAGACTTAAGAGTACTTGGATCTAACGAAGGACATGACACGGGACCGAGCACAATGGCGTTCTAAGATTCATATAGCCGATCCCACTCAGTGACTTGGATTTTTCAAGTCTCCAACCGAGAAGTTTTCCTCACTCGGGAAATTAAAGGAACACTACCTCAACCTACATGCTCCACTCACAAAGCTTCAACATACAAGCTTCAACAAAAGAAAATTCAAAGAACTTAGCGAAGAAGGCTTTGGTGTATTTAACACAATATGTTGAAATGAAGGAAAACTTATTTATTGATATCCCTGATAGGCTACAAATATGTACATATACATGAGTCAAAATAAACAAACTAGAGGGAGCCTTCACAAAGGTTGCTTAGGACAAGTCTCGCAGTCGGTAGAGCCCCAGAAAGAGAAGGCACCGGAGGGGGATCATTCGGAGCCTCAGTACTGGATAGAACCCTAGAAGGAGGAGGCATCAGAGGTTGATCATTTGGAGCTTCATTACGCGGTACCGCCCCAGAAGACGAAGGCAATAAATGCCTTTGGAACAAACCCACAAATCTTTGATGATCAAGTAAAACCTGACCATCAGATTCCTTCATCTGGTCAAGCTTCCTCTTCATGTTTGTAGCATAGTCATGTGCGAGCCGGTGCAACTGTTTATTCTCATGCTTGAGCCCTCTAATCTCCTGTTTGAGACTCATCACTTCAGCCGCCAATGATTCAACTTAACGGGTTCGAGCAAATAGGCGTTGGGCCATATTAGACACAGAACCTGCACACTGAACACTGAGAGCCAGAGAATCCTTAACAGCTAACTCATCAGATCGTTTGGAAAGTAGTCTGTTATCTTTGGGAGTGAGAAGGTTCCTGGCCACCACCGCAGCGGTCATATTATTCTTTATCACGGAATCCCCAACGGTAAGAGGACCAGTAGGGGAGACGAAGGATGGGCGCCATATGTTGTCTGGAGAAGGCGGGGCTGCCTCTTCAACAAGGTTCAAGTCAAAACGACGGTCGGAGGGGCTAGACATTTTCAAAGGTGTTGAAGAGAGAAGAGGTCGGACAAATCAAGATCTTAGAAGTGCAAGAATGGAGCTTCTACTGGTGGAGATTCAAGTGTGCTTTGGAACTTAATGTCAGCCCCTATAAAAATCTGCACTCGACGGAGCTTCAGAAATCGAAGAGGCGTCTGCTCAAAAATCGAAGAGGCGTTTGCTTTCTCAAAAGCTGAGCTGCTCAGAGACCACGAGGGTTGATCTCAGAAATCGAAGAGAAGTTTGCTTTCTCAAAAGCTGGGCTGTTCAAAGACCACGAAGGCCGATCTCAGAAATCAAAGAGACGCTTGCTTTCTCAAAAGATGGGCTGCTCAGAGACCACGAGGGCCGATCTCAGAAATCGAAGAGGCACCTACTTTTCCAGCCTTGTCAGCACCTATTACACGCACACTCAGCTTTGTGGAAATTATGGGCATTTTGTCGAAGACTTCTGGTGAAGTAGAAAGCACATGAATCTTACTGTTCAATCACCCACTTCCCACACGCAACAGTAGCGCATGGGTACCACAGATAACTTTGCCAAAGTTCTCTGCCAAAGTTGAGCACGTGAAGCTTGCAGCTCCCACTACATCGTTCTGACCAAGAAGGGTAAAAGAATAGCAAAGAAACAGCACTAACAAAGTTTAGACACATAAATTTTGAAGGTCTAGCTACCATATTATTACCCATAAGGGTAAAGGAACAGTACCATTGCTGGATAATTGGAAATTCCCTGTGTGTCAACCTCTGTGCTTCATGGCAAGGTAGACTAGCAAACTTGTCCAACCTTTACTCTCAGAGACCACGAGGGTTGATCTCAGAAATCGAAGAGGCGTTTTCTTTCTCAAAAGTTGGGATGCTCAAAGACCACGAAGGCCGATCTCAGAAATCGAAGAGGCACTTGCTTTCTCAAAAGCTGGGCTGCTCAGAGACCATGAGGGCCGATCTCAGAAATCGAAGAGGCACCTACTTTTCCAGCCTTGTCAGCACCTGTCACACGCACACTCAGCTTTGCGGAAATTATGGGCATTCTGGTGAAGTAGAAAGCACATGAATCTTACTGTTCAATCACCCACTTCCCACACGCAACAGTAGCTCATGGGTACCACAGATAACTTTGCCAAAGTTCTCTGCCAAAGTTGAGCACGTGAAGCTTGCAGCTCCCACTACATCGCTTTGACCAAGAAGGGTAAAAGAATAGCAAAGAAAACACAACTAAAAGTTTAGACGCATAAATTTTGAAGGTCTAGCTACCATATTATTACCCACAAGGGTAAAGGAATAGTACCACTGCTGGATAATTGGAAAGTCCCTGTGTGTCAACCTCTGTGCTTCGTGGCAAGGTAGACTAGCAAACATGCCCAACCTTTACTCACATTCGAGAAAACACTCCCAACAAGATTACAAGATTGCTTGCTCCAAAATCGAACAGGCACCGTCTTCCGAATCTCGAGAGCCAGACTCCCAACATGACTACTTTCTCAAAAATCGAAGAGAGGGTAAAGGAACAGTACCATTGCTGGATAATTGGAAAGTCCCTGTGTGTCAACCTCTATGCTTCGTGGCAAGGTAGACTAACAAACATGCCCAACCTTTACTCACATTCGAGAAAACACTCCCAACAAGATTGCTTGCTCCAAAATCGAAGAGGCACCGTCCTCCGAATCTCGAGAGCCAGACTCCCAACATGATTACTTTCTCAAAAATCGAAGAGACCGCTCTTCGAATCTCGAGAGCCAGACCCCCAGCATGATTGCTTTCTCAAAAATCGAAGTGACATCGTTCTCCGAATCTCGAGAGCCAGATCCCCGATAGGATTGCTTGTTCGAAAACCGAAGAGGCACAATTTTCCCAACTTCAAGAGCCGGATCTCCTTGGATAAAGCTTGTCTGTAATCTTCACATGCAACATCAGCTTTCCAGATACCACAGACAACTTTTTCAAAGTGCTCTGACAAAGTTAAAACATGTGAAGCTGGCAGCTCCAACTACCGTGCTATGACCAAGCAGGTTAAAGGAATAGCATTACTACTTGTTGTTAGGGAGACTCCTATATATGTCGACCTCCATCCCCAACGGACAGGCAGACCTGCAAAAATGCTCAACCCTTCCTCATATCTGAGAGGGCATTCCCAACGAAGCCTTTCGAAATATTCAGCTTTCTTTCCCCCCGATAATACCTCTGCAAACAAGCTATACTAGAGCAAGAATATCTCATATCATCAGGGTTAAAAAGCAAGAGTATCCCATATCATGCTTTTTCCCTGTCTTTTCCTTTGACCTTGTTCTTACCTGCAAGACAAGGAGAAAGAGAGCAATCAATCAGCACTTGGAATCAAGCTTCCAGCTAGGAACTGATTGCCTGGAACCCCTTACCTGATTACTTACCTGGCATTGCTCTCGAGTACTCATCTTCAACATCTTATGCTTCCAGGGAAGATATCGCATCTGCCTGAGGAACAGATAGGGCAAGTGAGAAGGATACAAGGAAGCATGTGGAGACAAGCGTAACAGCACACGTGCCGATACATCCATTACTCTGTCAAAAGCAAAAGTATCCTATATCAGCAGGGTCGAACGTACTCTAGATTTGATGGACTTGTTTTGACCCTCAAATTCTTCAGTCGGCCTTATACTCTGGAGGAAACCAGAAAACCCTCCAGCTCAGTTCAAGAATAAGCCTGTGGAAAGTTACTTCTTCAAAAGCAAAAGTATCCCATATCATCTTTTCTCATTTTTCTTCTCTTTATCCTTCATGCTGCCTGCAAGATAGGGAGAATGTGAACAATCAGCCGGAGCTCTGATTGCTTACCTTGTCTGTCACCTCTTTCAGCAGATCCCCTAGCTCGGCGACTTGGGGGACTCCTACTACATGGTTTGTATCGCGCTTGACCAAGCCTGAAACTACAAGTAAGCTTCAAGTGAAATTGATACATTACCTTCTGCATCTCCACCAGTTAAAGATACCACCTCTGGATGGAGGAAGAGTACTTCCAGAGAAGATGCCACATCTACCTATGAGACAGATAAGGCGAGTCAAGACGATACCACACTCCGATACTTAGAAGTTTCGTGATTACGAGATCATTCTCCCACAATATTTCCTAATGTCATTTGTACTAAATTATTCACTTGTACTCACTAAAGGAGAGCTTGAACCTATGTACTTGTGTAAACCCTCCACAATTAATGAGAACTCTATTCCGTGGACGTAGCCAATCTGGGTGAACCACGTACATCTTGTGTTTGCTTTCCTATCACTATCCATTCCACACTAATGACCGGAGCAATCTAGCGAAGATCACAAAAAGCGACCGTTTCCGCTACCTAGGATCTATCTTGCAAGAGAACGGAGAATTAAATGGAGATCTCAACCATAGAGTACAAGCTGGATGGATGAAGTGTAAGAGTGCATCCGGCGTGTTGTGTGACCGTCGTAGGCCACTGAAGCTCAAGGGAAAATTTTATAGGACGGCAATAAGGCCAGCGATGTTGTATGGCACAGAATGTTGGGCGGTGAAGCATCAACACGTACACAAAATGGGTGTAGCGGAGATGAGGATGCTTCGTGGGATGTGTGGGCACACGAGAAAGGATAAGATTGGGAATGAGGATATCCGAGGTAAAGTAGTAGTAGCCGAAATTGAAGGAAAGATGAGAGAAAATCGGTTCCGGTGATTTGGACATGTGCAAAGAAGGCCTACTGACGCTCCGGTTCGAAGATGTGACTACGGGACAGAGGTTCAAGGCCGAAGGGGTAGAGGAAGACCTAGGAAAACTTTGGAAGAGACTCTAAGAAAAGACTTAGAGTACTTGGATCTAACGGAGGACATGACACAAAACCGAGCGCAATGGCGTTCTAGGATTCATATAGCCGACCCCACTTAGTGGGAAAAGGCTTTGTTGTTGTTTTTGTTGTTGTTCAGTTATCATTTCAGTTCTAGAATTTCAGTTATCATTTCAGTTCTCTGAAACTATTGCTTATGAGTTTTAGATCTCAATCTGAATCAGGGTGAAATTCTTAGGAATCGTGCAACGCTTTGGACTACCATGACTTAATTAGCTGCTAAGTGATTTTCCTGAAGGTCTCTATCATCTAAGTATATTAAATTGATTTATCTAGTTTTACAAGTAATGCTAAATGTTGATACATGGTGTTCTCTTAATTAGTGTCGGAGGAGTGCCAGGAGTCATGGAAAGCTATTGTAATAGACGAGTTTCAAGACACAAGTGCTATGCAGTATAGTCTTTTGCGGATTCTCGCCTCTCATAACCACATAACCATTGTTGGTGATGATGATCAGGCATGTTGTTGATTTATTATGGAAATCCAATCTTATTGCTCCCTCTCTCCCTCTCTCTCTCTCTCAGCTCATTCTAATCCAGCCCTTATCTGTTCTAAATCAAATAACATATATCCTGCTGCAGTCCATTTTCAGTTTCAACGGGGCGGACAGTTCTGGATTTGATTCTTTTTGTAAAGATTTTTCAAATTACAAAGAGGTTCCTTCGCACTTAACTGCTATGTTTATCTTATGTCATTCAGTGTCTTTTTTCATTATATATAGTATAGAACAAATATATTGTATAATTACAGGAAAGTAAGTTTTATTTTATGGGGTTCTGTGGGATTTGACATAACTTTATGGTTCAGATTAGGCTTAATAAAAACTATCGGTCCACACGCTATATTGTGGAAGCTGCATCTTCTGTTATAAAAAACAATAAGAAGTGATGCCAACTAAAGAATGTTGACACCGACAATTCTTCTGGGTCTAATGTACCTAATCTTTCCTTGCTCCAACAAGTACAATTTGATGTCATTTTTCAGTCTTTTTAGTTAGTGACACTGGTTTTACTGGCAAAATGTAGGTAATTATCAAGGAAAGTCACAATGAGGATGCATAATGCGCCTTTGTTGTCGACAAGATCCTGGAGACTGCATCTAACTGTCAGAAGCAGGGTGCTCCTATGGAAATATAGCAATCCTTTACCGGAGGCAGGTCAAGCTTGCTTGCCCTAGTGCTAATGTGAATGAGGTGAATCATATAAGACATTTTGGTCACATTTTCTTTTGTATTTTATACTACAGGTATCAGGAAAAGTCTTCCAGACAGCCTTGCGTGAAACGAAAATACCATTTAATGTTCATGGAGTGGCAGTTTATAGGAAGAAGGTAGTTAGCACTTGTCCAGATTATGAAAACCTATCTTCTCAGTTGTATGTATCTAATTTTTCCAATATTGTTGTGCATAAGGTGGTTTTTGCTACGTAGAACTTAAAGTTATAAACACCTGAATTTTGGCATCACTGGTCCTTTTCATTGTTTTTTGTGCTTGCTTTTCCATTCCCTTTTGGCCAGCTATTCTATCTAAGATTTTGCTACATTACGGTTTCTGGTACACTCTGTGATCTTGTTGATGTAGCATGTTTCTTATGGCAGGTAGTTAGAGCCATTGTTGCTATGATTAAAATGACTTTGCCTGGTTGTGATGATGGATCATATAGGCAAGTCTTCAAGGGTCTACTTCCTTTTGAGAAAGAGGAAAAGAAGAAGGTACACGTTCAATGGCAATGATGAATGAGCATCATATAATGTTCTTTTCGGCATTAAAGTTGTATATTCTTGCTATCCATTTAATCTTATTTTTTACACACTCAGCCTTTAGGCTCACATCTCTGGATATCACTGTCTTTCTCTCTCTCTCTCTCTCTCTCTCTCTCTCTCTCTTCAGGTGATCGATTATATTGACAAAATCTCAACTCACAGAAAATGCAGCTTCATATCAGCCGCTTGTGACATCTTTAGTGCAAAAATTTCTGGTACCTTGAAGAGGTCTGTATGACAAGATGCCTTAACATTACATTTTTGCATGGTTAACTCAAGATATACTCATGTTTCTTTCTTATTTGGTATTACAAGCATTTAAGATCTTTTGGATATGTACTGATTGGTCTCTTTACTTGATACTAGGACTCAGCTTACCCAAGGACGCAAGGTGCTGTTAACACTAGAGATGATTTCAAAACTTGTTCTCAGGGTAAATATATTGGTAAATTGTAGCACCTCTTACGCATTGCTTATTGGCATGATGTAGTAGTAGTAGTTTATGATTCTCAGTGGATAAAAAGGATATATTTTCAAATTTTTGGCGAAGTGAAATTCTGTCTACTTTGGTGATTTTTTTAGTTTGATTTAAGTTCTCTAATTGTTGGAACTCTGTATACTTTTTATGCCTTCTTGTTATTAGAAGGAAGAGTATCTCTTTTGCTCCCTTGCATTATTCTTGATTAGTCAATATTAATCCAAAATGTTTTAGTTTTTGTTAGATCTGTGTTTCCAAAGAGGTCAGGGTTGTTCTGTGGAATACCTGTCTTTACTTAGTTGTGAATCTCTACGGTAGTCTTACTTATCAATGCACACAGGAACAATCGATTTCAGCTTTCATAACCTCTGTTGCGAATATGGTACCACATGTTTGTCTTCCATTTCTCCAGAGTTGATATGTCATTTTTGAATCAAATTGCTTTTAATCATCTTTGAGGATGAGGATCACCATTCCGTAACATTTTCTTTGTTTCATGCTTATATTCAATGTTTCTTAATAATTTATCGTTTGACTTTCAATTTTTAGAAGTACCTTCTTGAGCAACGTGCAGTTGTTGATGTAGATGGAGGAAAACTGCTGAATGAAGACAGTGACGTGGGATCTGTAAGAGCCTCAACGATTTCATCTCCCTCTTTGGAAGAATGTCCCAACAGCTTCGACTGGCTCCAGCCCTTTTTAAATCTTTCAGTTTAATTTATGTTGTACTGGAAAAAAGCACATTTTGAGTGTTCATGGGCAGTCGGCACCAAAAAACCAGGACCACCTCTGGTGATCTAATGTCCTAGTGGATAGGTGTTAGGTTTCTACCCGTGTCTCGAGTTCAAAAGTCCATCTTCCATAATTCAATAGTTTCGAACTCTCTCCTTAATAATAGAAATTTTCTTTTTAACAACAATGTATGCAAAGAATTTGTGTAATTTAAAAAAAAATGATGAAATGTTAGAAAGCATTGGTCAGAGAAAAGTTCTTATAGAAAAAACCTTCAGAAAATTTGGAAAAAATGAAAGAAATCCTCGTTCATTCAATTATTATGTTTTGATTGATTCTTTGTGCGCATAATGTGGTTATCTGATTTGTGGGGAATGGTGATGCTCACCGCTGAACTCGTTCGGTGTTTTTATTTTCTGAAGGTGTTTATCCACTAATTTGTCATAATCTATGAACTCGTTCGGTGTTTTTATTTTCTGAAGGTTATTCACTAAGTTTGAAAGAAATTATTATGTTTTTATTTCGTCATAATCTATCAACTCGTTCGGTGTTGCTCAATACAAAAAGTTTTACGGTTAAGAGTTTTCATCCAGGTTTGAATCGTGGCACCGGAATACCATTTATAAGAGAATTATTTAAAAAAAAAATTGTTTTACAAATTACATCTACCCATTTAAAAATCGATTTTATATAAGTCAATTTTGGTTTTTAAATTTCTGATATATAAATTTCTTAACCATTTATTTATTTATGAAAAGGACATGGATTCCTAATTTTGTTTTACTACCCGATTTAAAATCGATTTAATATTAGTCAATTCTAGCTCTTAATTTTCTAATATATACATTTCTTAACCATTTATTTGTTTATGAAAATTGAAAAGGACATGAATTCCAGTATTCTAAGAATTGTCATTGTTTAAAATATCAATAACGGTGAAAATATTAAAATATGTTACGAATGTCAAACAAAATCTGATATATTTAAGTTTGAGAGCCTGTCTCTAAACCAAAAGTCAGCGGTGAGCATCACCTTTCCCCACAAATCAGATAACCACATTATGTGCACTAATTGTTTATCCAATATGCGCAATGCATAACGTAAGGAGAACATTTAAATGGTTTATTTTGTCATAATCTGTAATACCCTGAAAATTTAAATATATGAATATGTGAAGAAAAATCGACAATAAATCAATTTATGGTTATGAAAGAAAAAAAAATTGTGAACTTTTAAAGTTTTGTTTCCGGAAATTTTATAATTTACGTAGTAAAATTTATCGTTAAGTAGAAAAGAAGAAAATGCCCTAACTAGTTTGACGTAATTATACAAGGATGTATTTTATCCTCATATATTTTATCGGATTTCTTGATATATTTGGATAAAGGATGGCCCTACGAACATGTAGACGAAAACCGTTCATGAAACGGAGTTATAACGAAGAAGTTATTAACAATTGAAGTTAGGAGTAAAATGGTCATTTGACCAATATCTAAAAGGCTCCAGATTTGCTGGAGCAAGGATCTGAGAAGCCACGTGTGTGGCTGTGATGGAAAGGGAAGGAGAGAAGGCGAGAGACACGGACCAACCAGAGGGGGAGGTAGGGAGGGAAAGGAGAGAAGGGAACCAGACCTTCCTTCAACCCGCCGACCCGACCTGACCATTGTTTTTTATTCCGACCATCGTTGATGATGGGAACGGTGCCAAAAATAACCCTCCCTTCGATACCAATTGATACCTTCACCAATTCCATCCCAATTTCGATGGAAATATGCTTTAATTTAGTGAAACCTACATTGGTGGGTGCGATGGGTCCGTTTCTGCGATCTCCCGTTTGTGAAGCCACCACCATTGACTACCACCATGGTTAGACTCCTTGTGAACCCAGGAACATCTACCAAGCCTTGTTTGGGGCGGCGGGGCACGGGAGATGACTAATTGAGGACACCCAAATTCTAGGGTTCAGACGGAATTGAGTGAAATTGGGGCTTTTCTTGGCCGAATTGGACTTCGTCCCAAGTATGAAAGTTGTTCCTATAATTGAACTCTACAACCCTATAAAATTTGGTAATTTGTAGAGTTTGTCGGAAATTGGGGTTTCCGATCACTGGAGATCGCCACCCGTGGTGGCGCGTGGCCAGTGGGCCGACGCTGCCTTTTAATACTAATTTAGACAATTTAAATCCATAATTGGTAATCATTTGATGTGATTCGATTGTGAAAGCTAATGTTGAATATTTCCAATTCTAGAATATTTTCAGAAACGGCTATAAGAATGGATTTAAACGGATTTATGAACTACGAAAGCCTTGATCCCGCTAAAGGGTATGTAGGCAGTCTAACAAGAGTTAGATGTAGCCTTAATAATTGAGATTTAATCTTTAGTTGGGAAGTTGTTTTAAGAGTAGAAGTTGGTGACAAATTATGAAAATTTAATCGTATGTTTTGGTAAGTTAATTATGGGTTATAGTTTTTGTGAGGGATTAAGAAAATTAAATAAGGAATCGTGATTATTGGTTGTAATGTAAATAAAAAATTTAATTTAGGCTTATCATTGGAATTATTTTATGAAAATAAATATTTCGGGCGCGGGGCGTTACATAATCTATCAACTCATCTGATGTTGCTCACTACAAAAAGTCTTACGGTTAAGAGTTTTCATCCAGGTTCGAATCCTGGCACCAGAATACCATTTTTAAGAGAATTGTTTTTTAAACATTTTTGTTTTACAAATTACATCTACCCAATTAAAAATCGATTTTATATAAGTCAATTCTGGCTTTTAAATTTATGATATATAAATTTTGTAACCATTTATTTATTTATGAAAAGGACACAGATTCCTAATTTTGTTTTACTACCCGATTTAAAATCGATTTAATATTAGTTAAATCTGGCTCTTAATTTTCTAATATATACATTTCTTAACCATTTATTTGTTTATGAAAATGACATGAATTCCAGTATTCTAAGAATTGTCATTGTTTAAAATATCAATATTGATGAAAATAAGGGAACACTACCTTAACCTACATGATCCACTCACAAAGTTTCAACATACAAGCTTCAACAAAAGAAAATTCAAAGAACTTAGCGAAGAAGGCTTTGGTGTATTTAACACAATATGTTGAAATGAAGGAAAGCTTATTTATTGATATCCCCGATAAGCTACACATACATATACATGAGTCAAAATAAACAAACAAGAGGGAGCCTTCACAAAGGTTGCTTAGGAGAAGTCTCAGCAGTCGGTAGAGCCCCAGAAAGAGAAGGCACCGGAGGGGGATCATTCGGAGCCTCAGTACTGGACAGAACCCTAGAAGGAGGAGGCATCAGAGGTTGATCATTTAGAGCTTCATTACGCGATACAGCCCCAGAAGACGAAGGCAATAAATGCCTTTGGAACAAACCCACAAATCTCTGATGATCAAGTAAAACCTGACCATCAGATTCCTTCATCTGGTCAAGCTTCATCTTCATGTTTGTAGCATAGTCATGTGCGAGCCGGTGCAACTGTTTATTCTCATGCTTGAGCCCTCTAATCTCCTGTTTGAGACTCATCACTTCAGCCGCCAATGATTCAACTTGACGGGTTCGAGCAAATAGGTGTTGGGCCATATTAGACACAGAACTTGCATACTGAACACTGAGAGCCAGAGAATCCTTAACAGCTAACTCATCAGACCGTTTGGAAAGTAGTCTGTTATCTTTGGGAGTGAGAAGGTTCCTGGCCACCACCGCAACGGTCATATCATTCTTCATCACGGAATCCCCAACGGTAAGAGGACCAGTAGGGGAGACGAAGGATGGGCGCCATATGTTGTCTTGAGAAGGCGGGGCTGCATCTTCAACAAGGTTCAAGTCAAAACGACGGTCGGAGGGGCCAGACATTTTCAAAGGTGTTGAAGAGAGAAGAAGTCGGACAAATCAAGATCTTAGAAGTACAAGAATGGAGCTTCTACTGGTGGAGATTCAAGTGTGCTTTGGAACTTAATGCCAGCCCCTATAAAAATATACACTCGACGGAGCTTCAAAAATCGAAGAGGCGTTTGCTTTCTCAAAAGCTGGGCTGCTCAGAGACCACGAGGGTTGATCTCAGAAATCGAAGAGGCGTTTGCTTTTTCAAAAGCTGGGCTGCTCAAAGACCACGAAGGCTGATCTCAGAAATCGAAGAGGCGCTTGCTTTCTCAAAAGCTGGGCTGCTCAGAGACCACGAGGGCCGATCTCAGAAATCGAAGAGGCACCTACCTTTCCAACCTTGTCAGCACCTGTCACATGCACACTCAGCTTTGCGAAAATTATGGGCATTCTGTCGAAGACTTCTGGTGAAGTAGAAAGCACATGAATCTTACTGTTCAATCACCCATTTCCCACACGCAACAGTAGCTCATGGGTACCACAGATAACTTTGCCAAAGTTCTCTGCCAAAGTTGAGCACGTGAAGCTTGCAGCTCCCACTACATCGCTCTGACCAAGAAGGGTAAAAGAATAGCAAAGAAATAGTACTAACAAAGTTTAGACACATAAATTTTGAAGGTCTAGCTACCATATTATTACCCATAAGGGTAAAGGAACAGTACCACTGCTGGATAATTGGAAAGTCCCTGTGTGTCAACCTCTGTGCTTCGTGGCAAGGTAGACTAGCAAACATGCCCAACCTTTACTCACATTTGAGAAAACACTCCCAATAAGATTGCTTGCTCCAAAATCGAAGAGGCACCGTCCTCCGAATCTCGAGAGCCAGACTCCCAACATGACTACTTTCTCAAAAATCGAAGAGACACCGCTCTCCGAATGTGTCAACCTATGTGCTTCATGGCAAGGTAGACTAGCAAACATGCCCAACCTTTACTCTCAGAGACCACGAGGGTTGATCTCAGAAACCGAAGAGGCGTTTGCTTTCTCAAAAGCTGGGTTGCTCAAAGACCACGAAGGCCGATCTCAGAAATCGAAGAGGCGCTTGCTTTCTCAAAAGCTGGGCTGCTCAGAGACCATGAGGGTCGATCTCAGAAATCAAAGAGGCACCTACTTTTCCAGCCTTGTCAGCACCTGTCACACGCACACTCAGCTTTGCGGAAATTATGGGCATTATGTCGAAGACTTCTGGTGAAGTAGAAGGCACATGAATCTTACTGTTCAATCACCCACTTCCCACACGCAACAGTAGCTCATGGGTACCACAGA